CCTCGTCCTCCTCCTCCTCCTCCTCCCCTCCTCCTCCTCCTCCTGCTACTCCTCCTCCTCTTCCTCCTCTCCTCCTCCCTCCTCCTCCTCCTCCTCCCCCTCCCCCTCCCCCTCCCCCTCCCCCGCTTCCTCCTCCTCCTCCTGCTCCTCCTCCTCCTCCTTCATCTCCTCCTCCTCCATCTCCTCCTCCTCCTCCTCCTCCTCCTCCTCCTCCTCCTGGCCTGAGGCACTACGACAAGTGGCGCAGAGTGCTGAACGACATGGCAAGAGGGCATGGCACAAAGCAAAGATCAGCATCCAGCGTTGGGCAAAGAGGGCCATGGATGGAAACATGAAAGACGCGCATGCACACTTGAAAAGGCCAGAGATCTTATCCCTTTCTGAACTCTGCATTGACCCTGATGGCAAAGGAGTCATCGCCAATTTGCAGCATGCCGTGGAGAACAGGGCGCGCCAATGGACAATGAGATGGACCAAACATCATGAACATGACGAAAGCATCAAGCAGATGGCCAGACTTCGCGCCTTGGCCCAAGAGGACCTACCACTACTTGAACCCATTACGTTGGACCAGTTGGAGGGAGCACTACGGGCTACGCCGAACTCTTCAGGCCAGGGCTCCGACGTGTGGAAGGTGCAGCATTTAAAGAAATTGGCTCCCCAGGCTAAGCAAGAGCTTGCTGATTTACTCACTGCATGCGAACAGACCTTCTCATGGCCCCATCAATGGTTACACATTTGGTATGAGTTACTGCGCAAAGGCTCCAACATGAAAGCTGGTGACGAAAGGCCCATCGGCCTGATACCGCTCCCAGTTCGACTGTGGGGACGTGTACGACAGCCAGGCATGGCAGAATGGAGCAGTGCAAAGGCGGCGTTCTGGGATGCGGCGGTGGCCAAGTCGTCGGCACTCCAGGCAGCTCTGTTCAGAATGGCCATGGATGAAAGCAGTGCGTGGGATGGCACCCCAGCCTGGGGATGCATATACCTGGACATCAAAAAGTTCTACGACTCTATCAGCATCCCGCTTCTGATAGATCGAGCCTTGAAGTTAGATTTCCCAGCAGTGGAACGTTGCCTGAATTGCCTGATCTACCTCGCACCGCGTGCTGTACGTGCGGCAAGCGCTTTTGCGACGCCTATCATGCCTGGGAACAGCATAGTCCCAGGCTGCAACAATGCAAACATTGGAACGAGGGCTTTCTTGTATGAAGTTTTGGACCGTGCACACATTGTATTTCCACGCTCACTTCCACGACAGTATGTGGACGACGTCACTGCGAGGGCAGACGGCTCGTACAAGCAGGTGAAGCATGAGCTCACTATGGTCGCCATCGAGCTCATCAAAGAATGCATCGAAAGCAAGCTCGAGATGTCAGATAAACCGGCAGTATTGGCATCGCATCCGAGCATAGAGAAAGCAGAATCATGGGCGGCACTTCAGCTAGGTACCACAGTACGAAGTGCAGACTACGTGCGCGACCTTGGCATCGACATGGCTCGAAGACGGCGAAGGAAAACAACCATTGCACAGGCTAGACGCAAAGCAGCTAAGGTGCGAGTACGACGAGCCCGTGTCTTCAAAGGGACTGGCAAACGTCGAAGGAATTGGGCAACTTTGAACATGGTCAACGTCGTGGCGAAGTCATCTTATGATCTGCCAGCCCTCGGCAAGTCGCCGAGTGCAGCACGACGCGCACGCGCTGAAGCAGCCGACATGCTGGGCTGCACTACAGGAGGGGGAAGTACCTCCATGGTCATGCTGCTCCACTACTTCGAAAAGGACCCCCAAGCAGTGGGACTAAGGCGCCAAGTGGCAGAGTGGATCAAGCTTTGGAAGAGAGTCCCAGGGTACCAGGACAAGCTTGGAGCTGGATGGCATGCGGCTGTTCAGCGCCTACAAAAAGCAAGACCCCGCGGACGGTGGAATGCGGTGACTGGACCAATGGCAGCACTTATACAAGGCCTGTCGGAGCTGGGATGGCAGCTCAGCGAGCCAGACACCTGGACTGAGTCAAAGCAGAACGTTTGGCGAACGACGGATACATACAGAGAGCCCCAAGCATCAGCAGCATCCAGCGACCAGAAGGCCAACGAGACGGAGTTGACGAATGCATTAGGTGGGTGCTCTGCACAAGCTGGGTGTCCTGTACCAGATGGGTGTCCTGTACCAGCTGAATGTCCCCTACCAACGGGGGGTCCTGCTCAAGCTGGATACCCGATGCATACAGGAAGTCCTGTACCACATGGGTGTCCTATACCAGCGCCAAGCATCAACGCCAGTGAGCAGCAGAGAGACAAGGCAGTGCAGGCCGAACTCATGGGTGTTCGAAAAAGATCTGAAAGTCCTGGGGCTGCTCTGGATAGCTCCCCAGGCCCATGCGTCGCCACGCCTGCTAGACGAGGTCAGGCAGATCCCTCAGCCATGGGACTACCACCATCGCATCCAAACCAACAGAGAATGCAGGCTGCCCAGGACTACGCGGACATGAGAGCAGACCTACGAGAATGGGCAGCGCAACGGTTCGACAACCACCTCAGCTATACCAGAGATGATAGCAACTGGAAGGAGTAGTGCGAGGCGTTTCTCTCAACGATGACGAATGGGGGCAACAATGAACCACTGCGCAGTTTACTGGAAGAGGGCACCGAGTTCATAAATGTATCGAATGGTGGCGTCCCTACAATAGATATTCATGAACACGAGGAAGGTATCGGAGCTGGACATTCTGCCATGCCTGTGGAGGCTGACAGCGGGACTGCTACTCCAGTCACCAGACCGACAAGAACAGCTACCAGCAGCAGGTAAAGCCTACCAGCAGTCAGACGACAATACCCAGCTCATGGCCCACATTACTGCCGACGTCATCCAGGAGTTGTGGCATCAAGCAGCCAAAGATCGACATGGAGGTCAGTGGGGGTCTACACCAGACATCACGACGGCTCTGAGAACGCTCCAGAGAATACGACGAACGGATTCCCATCGGGAAGCTGGAGCACTCGAAGCAATGTTGTGTAATACTATGTGGACTGAAGAACGTTGCCGCGCTGAAGGTTACGAATGCAATGGAGTATGCACCCGATGCTCGACGGGTCACAAAGAGACGATGGCCCACAGAGAATGGAGTTGCCCTCACACGTGCGCACAAGATCACCCTTGGATCCGTCAGAGCGCCAAGCTATGCGGAAGCTGTTCGGGACATCACCAACGGGAACAACGTGGAGCTGTGGCTAAGAGGGCTACCACCATCCACATGGAATACTGTACCGCCCCCTCCTTCATGGGACACACCTTGCTTGCCGTTCTACATCGACTGGGCCGGCCCGACTGTCTCACTCGAGGGCAAGGTGCACGTCGAGAACCGAGTCGAGTGCAAGCTGGCCTTCCTGGACGGCTCGGCCTCGAGCAGCGACGCGCGCATTGCGCGTGCGGGCTGGGGTGTCTCCCTTGCCCAGTCCGCGGCCAGTGTGGAAGAAGATGACCCCGAATCCCCTCGGCCAGGAGCAAGCGGGGGAATCGACGGAGCCCGGACGGTCCCGTGTGCCGCGATTGAGGCACCCTGGTGGGCCTTGAAACTTACCAAGGGGCCTGTGTGGCTCTACACGGACAGTCAAATCGTGTACGATGGATGGCATGGTTTCTCGGAAACTTCGGGATGGAGTCGTGTAATTTCTGAAGCTCAAGGTCGACGGTGATGCTCAGCAAGTGTAATTCGCACCTTGAGAAAGTTTCGCTAGCCTCCCTGGTCCAAACCCCATGTGTTTCGCGAGGCAACCTTGCAGATAAATTCGCCCAGATAGGAGTTCAACGTGTGACAGAAGATATTGACCCAGAGGTCAGAGATCTTGCGCGTGCGGAATTCAAAGTGTGGCTAGTCAAGAGGAGGCTAGCTATTGTTGATACCGCTGCCGCTAGTGCTGAGTATGAGCGCAAAAGCCGCCCGCGTATGGTCAACCTTGCGCCCGCTGCCTGGCGCGTAAGGAAGGAGCTCGAGAGATCCTCGGGGCACCAGCTTTCCAAGGTAGGCCCCTCCTGGGTGTGTAGCCACTGCCAGAGTGGCCCAGGAAAGTTTTTGGTTTGGGACTGGCTCCGCAATGGCAGTTGCCCGGGAACCCAGTACCACCGAGTAGAGTCGCAAGGTAGGCCCGTCCGCCTCCCCCCTCGGTTTAGAATCGGGGACAGGGAAGTCCACGAGTCTCACAACGATGCATTCCTGTATGGCCAGATTTTCTGTTGGAGGTGTTGGTGCCTCGGTTCCAAGACCCCCTCGGGCGGTAGGCTGGGGGCGGGGATCGTGGTTCAGTGTAAGGGGCACCCTACCCCAGCAGGAAAAGAAGCCTTGAGTAACATTCAGCGTTGGGAGGTCCCCTCATCGAAGGGCAAGGCCGTGTGGCCTGACGGTACCCCCAGCGCCCCCAGACAGAGAAGGCGCACAGAGCGCCGACAGGGGTGCATATCGGTGAGATTTGTGGTCTGGTTGTTAATCTTCATCTCCTCCTCCTCCTCTTCCTCCTCCTCCTCCTCCTCCTCCTCCTCCTCCTCCTCCTCCTCCTCCTCCTCCTCCTCCTCCTGCTCCTCCTCCTGCTCTCCCGCTCCTCCTTCTTCCTCCGTCCTCCTCCCGCCCCGAGGGGAGAGGGGCGCGGGAGGAGGCTGGCAGGGCCGCGCAGACTTCTGGCTGCCGGCCGCGTGCAGGCCCAGACCTGCGAGCAAGTCGCATCCGTGTCCCCGCCCCGAGTAGTCCACGGCGTTTCGCGCCATGCCGGGCGCCGATGGGGCGCTCTGCAGGCCATCCGGGCCTCCCGGGGACTCCTGGGCAGGGGGGCTACATGCGAACCCTGCCCCTACCCCCCACGACTTCTGAGGGGGAGAGGTGGGGTTCCGTTCGCTCGGGAGCTCCCGGACGTAGTGAACCCCACCCTCCCCCTCAGAAATCGTGGGGGGTGGGGGTAGGGTTCGCGTGTGGCCCCCTTCGGCACCCCCCCCCTTCCAGGCCCCGGTCCTCCCCGATGAACTGCATCACGAGCACATTCTGTCGGAGCTCCATCACCTGGGCCAGCACGAGGCGGCACTCGAGATGAGGAAAGAGAAGACCGCTCGGCATGGAATCGGCAAATGGGATCGAATCGTAGTGTGCGTCGGATCTGGCTGCCTCGGCATGGAGTCGAAATCGAATCGGATCGGGCGCGTCAGGATGCACAGCAGCGCCATGCGAGCAGCAGGAAGCATCGGATCGTCGGCACATAGAAAGCGAACTGGATCGAGGCGGCAGGACAGAGATCCATATCGAATCGGATCCGTCGAATCAAATTCGACCCTCACCTGCGCCAGCACGCGGCGGCACTCGCGAGGAGGAAGGAGGGTCGGGCGGGCGAGCGGGGGTGACGCTGGTGCGCATTGCATTTGTATTGAATTGTTTTGCATCGCATTGCATTGCATTGCATTGCATTGCATTGCATTGCATTGCATTGCATTGCATTGCATTGCATTGCATTGCATTGCATTGCATTGCATTGCATTGCACTGCATTGCATTGCATTGCATTGCATTGCATTGCATTGCATTGAATCGCATTGCATTGCAATCACATTGATTTGCATTGCTGTCATCGCGTTGCCTTGCGTTGCATTCGCAGATTGCTCTACATTGATTTAGTGCATTGCTTTGCGTTGCTGCACGTTGCTGTGCATTGCTTTGCAATGTGCTGTACTAAATCAATTGCACCTCATGGATTACACCATCGAGATTGCACCACGTTGATAGAACCACCGAGGTTGCACTCCATGACTTGCACGAAAACACGGTTTGGGGTCAATCTTGTGCCAGGCCCGCCTGCCCACTCAAATTGCATTCATCCCCGGTCCATTCAAATTCTTATATTCTAGGCCTAGCTGCTATTCTGATGCCAGGTCCGCCGGCCCATCCTAATTCTTCTATTCCGAGCCTTGGATCCTGTCATTCAGCCGAATGGCTGGGGAGGAGGGAGAAAGGAGGAGGGAGAAATGAGGAGGGAGGGGGGGAGCATGGAGGAGGGAGATGAAGGCGGGATGAGGGAGGAGGTGTGAGACGAGAAGCGGACCATCCGCTGAGACGGCAGGACGGAACAGAAAGGTTGTGCAAACATTGTGGGTGCAAGAACGCGCGAGCTACAAAGATGATGTCCTGGCATGCTGTGTCTGTAAGCCTCCTGGGACTCCACTGCTATTTCCCCATTCGGCGCCGCACCTCCGCGCTCGAGGCCCGATGTTGAAGTGTCTGCTGATGCAAGGTAACGAGTCTGTGGAAAATAGCGCTGCGGACATCCGAAAATGCAGCACCGCGCCCCTCTGGCACGTCGATGCGCGCCAGAATGCCAAGTGCTGTCTGGTAGGGCCTCTGAAATCTTTCAACAGCCCTCCATGCGCCGCCCCCCTCTCATCGAGGCCACAGTCCCTCGAAAATGTTAGCCCGTGTGGACTCCAAACAAAATGTCTCTAGCAATTCACCCCTCAACCCCCTCCTACTCCTCCCCCTCCTCAGCCTGTCCCTCCTCCTCACCGTCATAATCCTCCTCCTGCCCCTCCTCCACCTCCTCCTCGTCCTCCTCATCCTCCTCGTCCTCCTCCTCCTTTTCCTTCCTCCTCCTCCTCCTCCTCCTCCTCCTCCTCTCCTCCTCCTCCTCCTCCTCCTCCTCCTCCTCTTCCTCCTCCTCCTCCTGCTCCTCCTCCTCCTCCTCCTCCTCCTCCTCCTCCTCCTCCTCCTCCTCCTCCTCCTCCTCCTCCTCCTCCTCCTCCTCCTCCTCCTCCTCCCCTCCCCATGTCCCCTGTCTGCGCTCTTGATCCAAAAGAATTAGGCCTTCAAGGCGCTCTAGAGGCTAGGGGCCAAGTACTCACGCTCAGCGATGACGCAACCTCCCCAGCTGCAGACACCAGCGGGAGCACTTCCAAGCCACTGGTACTATGTAAGTCCAGCCTGCTCGGTAGTATGGGACTCCTGGCAACAAAATCAGATGGGCCTTGGTTCCAGACGGCCGAGTCAAATTGTTGTTGGTCTCTCGGCATGCGGTGGTTTAGAGGCTGCAGGAGTTGCCGTGCACGCGATGTCAACACTCCAAGAGTTTCTGAATAGAATCACTGCTAAGATTTGGAAACGGGGGATGAGAGGCCGGCTGCTTCCGCGTCATAGCGGGCTATCTCAAAACGTGATAACGTATGGTCGATACGTTCTCCCGCATGGACTCGGAAGTCCGTGAGAGCGGTACCAGAGTTGAGTTGGCGTTCCTCGTCTAAATTCTCGAACTTCGCGCTTAAAAAGAACATGATGTGGGTGGCGCCGTCAGTTTGGCGGCCACCTATGTTGACGCCAAAATTGATAACTGCTGGAAGGACTCTCATGGCTATGGTCCGTGCGAGACCTCCCAGACCTCGCTGCAGAGCTGCAGCCTATAGGAAGGCGTCATATTGCCTGTGGCCACGTTGATCCAGGCATGTCCTTCGCGGACGAATTCGCGAAAGGGTACTTGACCTGCTGGGTCCCAGTGAGGACCGGTCGTTCTTGCGTCGTCTCCGCCACGCATATGTCCTACCGCACACCCGATGGCGACCCAGGTGAGCCCAAAGATAGTAACACCAATCCAATGGCCTCGTAGGTCGTGGTCGGATGTAGTCGTCTGGGATTTCCGTCGGGTAGTTGTAAGTCTGCGTGGGGGTGGAGGCGGCAGTATATCATATCGCATGTTTCCATGCATTATATATTCGATGTAAGTAAGCGACCTCCGCTTGAGCAGAGGTATCGCTGCAAGTGTTCTTGCGACATTGTGTAGTTATATACATTCTTCCGCGCAAACCCACTGCACCCTGATGTTCCACCTTATCCGTAGTCCACCAGATAGTGCCGTGGATGGTGAGGAGTAGAGCAAGGGCTGACCACCATAGGCCAGCTCCGCTCCCAAGTTTGAAGGGGGCTGGGAGGCCCTGCCAGCAACTTCGCCTTAGGCGAAGCCAAGCTCCAGCTCTGTTGTACCGTAGTAACGATAGTCCTAGTAGGAGAGGATGCGCCATCTTAAACAATAGGAAGATCCTTTTGGTCTCGATAGCGATTGTGTGCCTCGCGATGAGGCACAGTCATATTTTGGCGGCCGGCCGCTTGAGCCGACGCGGCCGCGGGCGCACGTTCGCTTCCGCCCCTTACGCCCCTCAGCTCGCTTTAGAATCCGAGACCGCCCAAGAGCGCCCCAGGAGCGCCCAGGGCGGGCACTAAGAGGCGGCTTTGGGACGCCCAGAATGGCGAGGCTAATTAAGGACCCCCCTCCCTCTTTGATCGATATTCTCCAAGGTGTTCGCAAGAAGGCCTCCAAGGCCCCCAAGAGGCCCCAAGAGGCGCCAAAGCGGCCCCAAGAGGCCCCCAAAACGCACCCAGAAAGGCCCCCAAGCGGCCCCCCGACAGGCCCCACGAGGCCCCCCCGATGCACCCAAGACGCCCGAAGAGGCCCCTGAGACCGCGACGAGACCCCCAAGACGCCCCATTAGGCCTCCGAAAGGCCTCTGGCCCTTCTGCTCGCCCTCCTCCTGCTCTTCCTTCTCTGCTTATTCCTCCTCCTCCTCCTCCTCCTCCTCCTCCTCCTCCTCTTCTTCCTCCT